CACTAGGCTGGCTTCTCTCTTTATCCTTTCATAGAGCAGACAGACTGGTTTCAGTTTGATTTTGGTTTTATGCCTTTTGTTGTCTATTTTTTATTACAAAAGTAGTGTGTGTGATCATTATTAAAAGAAAGAAATAATGCAAAAGCAAAAAAAGTAAAATCCAGTCGATCCTATTGCTTGGAAGTAACCCTTATTAAAAATATTTTAAAATTAGTAGAAGATCTCTCAGAATTTTTTTGTATATTTACAACTAGAATACAGATAATACTTTGTGTCATAAAAATGGGATAATAACTGCACATACTGTTCAACAACTAGCTTTGTAATTTATGTCTCACGGACGTCTTTCCATGCGGGTAGAATACAGAGCAACCTTGTTCTTTTTAATGGCGCCATTGTACTCTATTGATGGATATACCATAGTTTATTCAACCCTTCCCCAGTGTGCACTTTGGGTATTTGCACTTCTTTATTATTGCGGATAATGGAGGAAGTGCCTTTGAACGTACATCTTTTCACACTTGTTGAAGTCTTCTGAAGAGAGATCAGTAAACGTGGAATTGCTAGGTCAAGTCTATGAATATTTAAAATTTTTGATAGAAGCTGCCAAATAGCACTCCATGAAGGCTGGATGGAAAATATTGAAACTCTGGGTAAATATTTATGCTTAGTTTTCCTTGAAAGTGTTGTGTTTAGTGCAGACTTTGGCCCTTAACACTTCCCTCCTGAGCTCCTGAGAACCTGGGGGCCTTTCTGTATTGGTTGATACCTAAAACCTGGGCAGAGGGAGGGAAGAGAAGAGTCAGATGAGCCGTAAGTTGGATGCCCTGCAGGGCGGGGGTGGTGGCTTCAGTGGGGCGGAGTGGCAACTGGGCTTTCAGAAAGGACCCCAAGGACCCAGCCTTCTGTAGTCCCCAAGTGCCTGGAAAGGAGCCCAGTGGGAGAGGGGGACAGTGGGGCACTGACTGAATGGCCACACTGTCGGGGGGGTGGCCCTCTGGTTGAAGTTTATGTTCCAATGGGGAAGGTAGACAGTAGACAAACAGATGAGTGTGTAATACGATTTGGGTGGTGGTCAGCGCTGTGAAGAAGAATGAAGCAGGTGAGGGGGAGAGTGGCAGGTGGCGGGAGGGCTCGTTTACCTAGAGCGTCAGGCACCACCTCCCAGAAGATTATCACTTGTGAAGAGACCTGGAGGAGCAGATGAGTGAGCCAAGCCCAGGGTCTCGGGGGTGGGGGCACGTTCTGTACAGAAGGAACTCACGCTAACTTGCCCGGAATGGGAGGAAGTGTAGCGTATTTGAGCATCAAGAAGGCTGGCAGTGTGGCTGGAGTGTGTGAGCAGGGCCAGAAGGGTGTGTGTGTGTGTGTGTGTGTGTGTGTGTGTGTGTGTGTGTGTG